GGGGGGGGGGGGGTATGACCCAATCCTGACCCTGGCACCAGCACCTCCTGCCCCACCTGGGGTCAGAGCTGGAAGCCCTGTGCCCCTGGGCAGTGGATCCAGCTCAGCAGGCCAGTGTGGAACAGCTGGGTGCAGTGCCCACTGCTTTCCCACCTGTCCCCCCAGCAGGGATTGCAGATCCTAGCGCCCTGGGCAGGGCCACAGCTGGAGCCACTGGGGTGGAGCTGGGACCCACCCACCCCAGGAGCAATTCCCACGGCCCCTCCCACCCCACCTGGGGTCAGAACTGGGAGTCCTGCACCCCCAGGCAGTAGCTCCAGCCACCCTCCCCAGTCCCCACATGGCCACTGCCTGACCCCCTCGCACCTGGCCAGAAACCTGTGCCTCAGGTAACTAGCACTTTTAGCTTACTGGCACCCCCAACCATTCCCCACTCATGTTGGTTAACAGGGATTTTTACTGTACCTAGTAAAATTGAGTGAACCGAAAAAAAAGTGTGCAAATCAGTAAAAATGGGTGTAAAAACTAAATAATTTCAATTAAAATAAAATCAGGGAATTTATTGGTGAAAACCGGTAAAAGCTGAAAATGTGGAACACTATGCACAGGCAATCCAGAAAGTTTTTGGAGAGTGTTTGGGACAACTTCCTGGTGCAGGTGTTGGAGAGGCCAACTAGGGGCCATGCTCTTCCTGACCCACTGTTCAAAAACAGAGAATAATTGGTAGGGAACGTAGAAGCGGAGGGCAACTTGGGCAGCAGTGAGTTCAGGATTGTAACAGAGAGCCTTGGAGAGCCAGGGAGCTCAGTAGGCTAGGCAGGGCACAGCAGTTGCAGGTTGCTGGGGCAATGGAGCAAATGAAGACATTATTAGGCACCTGCAAGCAGCCTGCTGAGTGAAGTGGGCTGGGCCCTGGAAGGATATAAGCCTGAGACTTGGGCTGGCAAGCTAGTCTAGCCCTGCCAGCTGCTGGGTTAGAAGCTCCTGCCCAGGAGAGCAACCCAGGGATGCTAGACTGTCTGTAGGAATACTGAGGCTAGTAATCAATGGCTTGATGCCTAATTGGGAGCTGGTATCAAGTGGAATGCCCCAAGGGCTAGTCCTGGGTTTGGTGTTGTTCCGTATCTTCAATGACCTGGATGTTAGATGGAGCGCACCCTCAGCAAGTTTGCAGGTGACCAAGCTGTGAGGAGTAGTGGATATGCTGGAGAGTCGGGTTAAGATTCAGAAAGACCTCGACAACTTGGAGGACTGGGCCAAAAGAAATCTCATGAGATTCAATAAGGACAAGTTCAAAGTCCTGCACTTAGGACAGAACAATCCCATGCACCAGTACAAGCTGGGAATCAACTAGCTAAGTAGCAATTCTGCAGAAAAGAACCTGGGAGTTACAGTGGACAATAAGCAGAAAATGAGCCAGTGTGCCGTTATTGTTAAGGCTAAAAGCATACATGAGCTACATTAGTAGGAGCATTGCCAGCAGAATGAGGGAATTGATTCTTCCCCTCTATTCAGCACTGGTGAGGCCACATCTGGAGTACTGTGTCCAGTTTTGGGTTCCCCACTACGGAAAAGATGCGGGTAATTTGGAGAGTTCAGCGAAGGGCATGGAAATAGTTAGGGGGCTGGGGCACATGACTTCTGAGGAGAGGCTAAGGAAACTGGGCGTGTTTAGTTTGGAGAAGAGAAGACTGAGAGGTGATTTAGTAGCAACCTTCAACTATCTGAAGGGTGGTTCCAAAGAGGACGGAGGTAGACTTTTCTTAGTGGTGGCGGATGACAGGACAAGGAGCAACAATCTCTAGTAGCAGCAAGTGAAGTTTAGGTTAGATATTAAGGAAAAGTTTCTCAGGGGAAGGGTAGTAAAGCACTGGAAAAGGTTACACAGAGGTTGTGGAATCTCTGTCCTTGGGGGTTTTTAAGACCCAGCTAGACAAAGCCTTGGCTGGTATGATATAGGTGGGGATGGTTCTGCTTTGAGCAAGAGGGTTGGATTAAAATGACCTCCGGAGGTCCCTTCCAATGCTAATTTTCTATTATTCTATTAATACTACATTTGAAATATTAGAAGTATTCCTGCACAAAAGGCAGAGAAGAACAACATATTGATTTATACTGATCTAGTCCAGAAAGAGCAGCTAAGAAAAATAAATTGAAAATGTAATTAAACATTTCACTTACACTCCACTTAACACGTTTATGGATTTTGTTCGCAGTCCATATCCAGTGTCCTTTAAATTGGAAATTATTCCTAATACACTGATATTGGCACCTTTAGACCCAAAATTTTCTTCACTGTACATTATCATGTGGGAACTTGCAAAGTCCTGTTGAAGCAAACAAAAACAAAGGCAAATGTAAAAAAAACCTGTTTCACTGGGTCCAAGCAATAAATAGCACATAATCTTGAAACTTACACCAAGAACAGGCCGCAGGGACTGCAGATCCTCACTGTAACCACCCCAATCTTTCCAACACTGGTATGCTCCTTCTTCCAGTAAGTATTGATGACCTGCAAACCTTGGTTTCTCATAAGCCACCCAACTAAAATGGGAAAAGAAAGGTAAACAAACAAACAAACAAAACAAAAACACACACACACACACACAGTGCTGGAGAAAGGAAACTAGTTAGTAAAAAGATCTGAATTTGTCCTATAATCCTTCAATAATAATGGATCCTGATTTAAGAAATTTGCTTCTTTTAAAACAAAGGTACATTTGTGACTCAGTCTTAAGGGTCAGACACTAGAGTATTACAAAGTTGATGCACTGATGGAGTTTCAAGAACTTCATACAGGGTGTAAGATAATTGCACTTAGATATCTAAGTCTACTTAGACACCCAAGAGGTGTCACAGGAACTGGCTCTGAAGGGTCCAATTTCCTTGTACGCCCTGAACTGAATATACAAAATTTGGCAAAAGTTATGAAGGCAAAGAAAATTTGCCTGTCTGGTACAATTTCCATTTTCACATTGCTACTACTTGGACCAGATTCTCCTTCATTCTTAAATTAGGAATGTTGTGGTATCTCCTTCTACTTACAGTCCTCCCAGCACTTTTATAGACCCCACTGATGTAAACGGCATTGTCTTTTTTGATCCTAATTCTTCTTTTTGTTTTTCTTCCACAGTAAAAGTAAATATTTCTGATTCCAGTTCCATGCTTTTCCCTTCAAAGAAAGGCTTCTCATAAATGACTACCTACAACAGAAATTAGATGAAGCAAGTTACAAAAAAAAAAAGTAACAAGGACAGTCCAATCAAGATGTCTCCGGCATTAAAAGTGCTTGCCTGATAGTAATTAAATACATGCACTTGTTGTTTTACCTTGGGCTCTCCAGTATGTTCAACTTTGCGGCCACCCTAAAAACAAAAAAAATAAAAAAAATTCATCTCCAATAAATTTAAGTATTCACAGATGTATTCCAAAAGACAACTTTCTTTAAGAAAGAAGATTTTTCAAAGTCCATAGCATCACAGACAAAAATTTAACACTAATGGACACAGTTAATCCTAGAAGTCCAAGATCTTTCTAGAAACACATTAAAAATCCTATATAAACGACTTTCAAACTGACATATATGCTATTTTTGCAAATTTTGAAAAGGGCTGCAATATAACATGTTAGTATTACCATATTAGCACTAAGTGCCTTGACTATAGAATTTGCAAGCAGTTACATGTTACCATTTTCAAGGGCCTCATAGATCTAATGTAGGCTTCCTTTTTCTCCCAGAAGGCTAAATTAGGATATTCACCAGGCTCCAACATTAAAGGAATTCCCTGGAAACCAGGTTCTTCATAAATTAGCCATCTAGATAAGGACAAAAAAGCAAGGAGTTAAACACTTCAGTACTATTTGTTGCTCATTCATGCAAGCAGTGCTCTGCCATCACACACATACACACATCACATCCCCCTCTACGTGACGCTGGTCAGGCCACAGCTGGAGTATTGTGTCCAGTTCTGTGCGCCCCATTTCAAGAGGGATGTGGACAACATGGAGAGGGTCCAGAGGAGGGCCACCCGCATGATCCGCGGACAACAGGGCAGACCCTACAGTGAGAGACTGCGGGACCTGAACCTATTCAGCCTCAACAAGAGAAGGCTGAGGGGGGACCTGGTGACCATCTATAGACTCACTAGGGGGGACCAGAAGGGTTTGGGGGAGACGCTGTTTCCCCTAGCGCCCGCTGGCATAACAAGGAGTAATGGGCACAAGTTGATGGAGAGGAGGTATAGATTGGACATCCGCAAAAACTACTTCACAGTTAGGGCGGCTAGGAGCTGGAACCAACTTCCAAGGGAAGTGGTGCTGGCCCCTACCCTGGGGGTCTTTAAGAAGAGGCTGGATGCCTACCTGGCTGGACTCATTTGAGTCCCGTTTCTTGTTTTGGGGTTTTTGTTGTTCTCCCGCCCTGGCGGGGGGTCGGGCTAGATGATCTACTAGGTCCCTTCCGACCCTTAATCTATGAAACTATGAAACATACATTTGAGACACGCATGAGAAAAAAAGTAAAGACTCTCAGGCTAGGAACAGACATTGCATTTGTCCCTGGGCATGTTGTGCCTGTGTTTGTCTTGGAACAGAAATATCCTGGAATTGGCATGTACACACATAGCCCTTCTAATTAGGGTTTAGTTAGCAGCTGAATTCACTGCCACTTTTCTGCCATAGAGCCAATGATGCCATCCCAGGATAACTGTACAGGCACGCTTTGTGATGCCCCAGGATAAACTGCTAGTATTTCTTATCCTGTAAACCTAGTTAGGATTTATTCTGAGACAATGGATACGGATGTCTGAATGACTGCATGCTGTCCTGGGATAAAGTGGCTCATGTCAGGACTAAAACAACATCCATTTGCAGCCTCACAGTACCTTGCAAGGATGTCACTGCAGTGCTGCAATAAAAGCAAATAAAGGACTGCATGTATTATTAGGACCCCAGCCTCAGAACAGATGTGCTAGCACAACCTTCTGCTCCTTGAGTCCCATTTTTCATTTGCAGGATCAGGGCTGTAGGGAGGTCCATACAGTTAGCAGATGTTATGGAATTTGACCACATACTTTTTTTCTTTGGAAAGCTGCTGTTTTTTTTATGAAGAAATTAGTTTAAATGAGACAATTTTACATTGAAACAATTTTGATGAAAAATTCTGACCAGACCTAAAATCACAACCTATTAGGTGTTACATTTTTAGTTTAAAATGAATCTAGTGTTCTGTAGAAAAAGGCAGTGGCTTAAAAACTTTGGAAACAGTATTTCTTCGTTTCTTTAAAAGAGATGCAACATAGGTAGCAGCACTTCACTTTCACAACACCTCCCTCACTTTGTATTTCAATCACACTTTTCTGAGTGCGAGAGCTCAGAAACTATCCTTGACCTTTGTTAAGACTTAACAAAGAAACTGAATATCTGTCAGATGTTACTGGCAGCAAGCACTCTCTGTCCCTCTGTCTTGTGTAGAATTGATGCTAATCTGCATAGTTCTATCAATTTCATGCTTAGTAAGAGACTTTGATGATACACAGGAAGCAATATAAAAGGTAAGAATGTAGGCTCACAGCACAGTGGTATATGACTTAAACTTAAAAAGTGGTACGGAATTTCAACTCTTAACTTACAATTATAAAAGGAAAAAATTAGAGCACAACTTTAACTTTATGTCTCCCGCTATAAATCGGGTAAAAAAAAAAAAAAAAAGAGAGAATGTATATACCTCTAAAGCATATACGGTGTGTGCGTTTATAATGGGAATTCCTGCACTTCAGCAAGTTTGCAAGAGACTTTACTAGAAGATTGTTTTTGACCAACAGCCTTTTATTTTCCTTTAATATGTATGGTTTTTAATAAAAGGTTAGCAGCTCATATTCTCCTTCTTAATTGTGCAGTGAAGTTGTAATCACATATTCAGGATTTTATATTTTATTGCCACGGAAGTTATCTTGAAAACATTATTTTAGAACCAATCACCTCATTGCAGGGTCAAATAGATATGAAGGGTGTAAAGAAAGAAAATCAGTGGGGAAAAATGAGAAAAGTTTGAGATGATGAAAAAAACCCTTCTAATGTCAGTCAGCACCCTTTTCTCTCTCATAATTTTCATGTATTTTATTAAAGGTATCCAACAATAGTAACAAGTTGAGATTATTTTTATATATAGGGTTTATAAATATACACTGCATTCACAGGTATGGTTGCAGAATATGCAGGAAGACTTGGGCTAGCTCCAGTCTAATGAGCTCAGACTAGTAGCAAGAAAGCTGCAGATGCACTGGCAGTATAAAAGCTTATTATGGCTTAATTGCTCCTGACCCCTGTACTAGTTACACTAGTGTTAGCTCAGGTAGGTCTCCCTGTACTGTAATCACATTTCTGATTGCAGTGTAGACATATCCTTGAAAGGCAGATCACCATCTGAATGAAGTAAAGCTGGATTAAAGCTTTAGAATGCCTTGAACACTTTCCGAAGTGGTAGAAAATTGTTTTTTCCTTCAACCAGTGCCGATATGCATGTATAAGGGATGAAGTAAGAACTGTACTAATAACTGTTACCTGCCTAAAGAAGGTCAGTTCATTTTTAAAGTTATTTAGACTTCTAATAAATAGAACATGAAGCTGTATAAAACAGAGAAAAGGCTCACTTGTGTAACCTTTGATTATTTAAGGGTTCTGATGTACAAATCTAGTGATGAAAAAGAGGTTAGTATCTGCTGCTTCATCATTCTAAAGGGCCAATAAGCCCTGTAACTATGCATAAAAATATACATGTAAATGCAAATATGATCTGATCTTTCCCTGCTTTCCCAACCAGAAAGTAATGGCACATAGATTCATTTTTAGCAATGGCTTCTGTTGAGCAATACCAACGAATATGCACGTCTAGATATGTTTAATAAATTATGTGCAAAGGGGTATGATCACACAGTGTGACTCAGGATAGCAACTAACCATTTCTTGTCAGTACATGAATAGTGAACATGCATAGCCAGCAAGAAGAAAATCTCTGCAGTGTGCAGGAAGTACACAGCTTAAACTTGGTTAGCAAAAAAAACAAACCACTTTAAAGATTTTCCTGTTTAAGCAACAGGAAATGACCACCTTTTCTAGATCAGGCTAGTGGTCATCATATTTGAACAAGAATATATTCCAAGTGTTTCTGATGTAAGCAACATGCTAATTTCATTAATGAATTAAAAATTGATTAAAATAATGATTATTTAATTAAACTGAGCATGCTTATGTCTGAATCTCTCATCACTAAATAGGAGGAAAAACAGCAATAACTCCTTGAACAGTTTCAAATGATGTGTATAAAACTGGTTTGTTGTTCTTACAACAATAATGCAAGGAATGTGCAATTAATTCCTAGTTAGGGAAACACTTGCATATTCTAGTTGTAGTGTTTGACACTTTTACCCACTGTGCATTTCCCCATGAGAATTTTTCTCCAATTCTTTTCCAATTTTTTAAAATCATGTTTATATCTGAATCTCCATAAAATCTGAGACACAGTACAAGGCTAATATGTAAAGACAAATTATGCTGTATTTAAGGTTCAAACTCCATGCCTGCCTGCCTTCAAAAGACTCAGATAGTTCTGAGCAGTCAGGATTTTGAGTTATCGTGGAAAACAAATGCAGAAATATTTTCATTTTAAACAAGTTTACAGTTGATTCTGAAATCTGAAGAATGTGGCCCAGGCACGATTCATTTCCTAGAAATATCTAATCTCTGTCATTTCTATTCACAAACCACGTATAACTGAAAAGTAGAACAAACAAAAGAACTGATTTTTCCCTCATCTGTTTTTAATTAGCTAGTAAATACAACAACTGTAAATATTTTTCTAGCTTAAGTTCTTAATTCGCATGTGTAGATATTGCTTACAGTTACACAGAAATTCATTCCTGCGAGCAAGGCAATAATTAGGACAACTTCGTAAAGTATTCCTAAAACCTTCTTTATCAAGGTAAATAAAGACTGAAACATATGCAGCACATTTCTTTTACCATTCAAAAAATCCTACAATGGTTTTGTGTACCCACCCTTTGGGGAAAATGTGGCAGTTGTTTTGCTTTGCACAGGAACATTCTACAACACTTGAGCTAAAAAGATTAGGTAGGGATATTAGGAATTTTAGGAAGGGAAGTTATAATAGTGCCCATCTGGAATTTAGCCAAAAATTATGATAAGCATATGTAGATCTTGAAACATGTACTGTGGGATCTTCATTAACTTATCTGAGGGAAAGCTCTTTTACCTGCACACTTTCCTCAATGCCATTTTGGAGGAATAGATAACTTCAGTTCAGATTTGGAGGAGCTTGCTAAGTCACCCAAGCTTCCTCGAGAGTTTCCTTTTCCATCAAACTTGTTTACTTTTAACAAGAGAAACTCCCAGCTTACAGATTTTTCAGATAAACTAAAATGCACTGTACATTTTAATTACCTCCTAACAGCAGCCATGAAGAATACTGGAAAGTGGTATGAAATTCAGGGGCTATTTCACAATGTTATGAAGTCATTAAAAATATTCAAACTAAAATGCTTTTATATTCTGCGGTCTGGTCCACTTTTTTCTTTTAGACATCTCAGCTGATTTTTAAAATTAAATCTTCTATCTTCTTCACTGAACATTTCAGTTTACTTTCTCAAAGTTGAAAACCCTTGCAACACATGCTGTAAGCCAAAAGGAATACTCGCACCTAACCTCATTATCACACATCCTTTAGAAGTTATCATTCTGACCTTTACTATGCATCTGCCTGGACTGGGGGGACATAGGGTAAATTAAAACTTTTGGCTATTAGTAGGCCTGTGTGAAACAGCAAGTATTCAATTTGGATTCAGCTGATTCAGTGATTCAAATCACTATCCCAACTTGATTTGGCACCAATTTGGAGATTTGGCCATAGACTATAATGGGGAATCATTAAAATACCTATAACTTTGTCATTTTTGTGCAGATTCAGATGAAAACAGCAGGACTGGTAGCCTCTTCTGAAGGCATGAAGCCTGCCAAGTTACAAGGACAGATGCTGGGGTTCCTGTGAAAGTGCACCTCAATATGTTGAAAGCAAAACTGGTATCACTTGTATGTGTTAAGGCAGAGCAGGCTGAATGCAGAATGGATGGTAGCCCCTCGTGGGGGCATGAGGCCTGCCAGGTGTCGGGCAAAGTAGTGCATGGGTTTCTGTGGAAGTGGATCTCAAGGTTCTGAACACTAATAAAAAAGGCAAATAGGTGTGGAGTGAGGAGGGTGGCACTCACTTCATCTGCACCTGGAGCCTGGGGAACCCCAGCAGCAGGAGTTTTACCTTCAGGAACACCAGCTGCTCCACCAAACCAGGATCCAAGGCAGACCTACCTCTGACCAGGACAGTCCCCAGCCAGGCCCAGGCTGCATGGAGAAGTCTGCATGTACAGGCCAGAGCTGGCTGTGGACTGCCCAAAACAGGACAGCCCAGGGCTGGCCAAGGAACTGTCCCGGTCAGGGACAGGCCCCAGCGAGCTCCAGGCTGGCCAAGGAACTCTCCCTAGTCCCTGCTTCATGATTGCAGAGTGGGGACTGGGAGCTCCCTGCTGCCAGGGTAGGGGGACATTTTCCCTTCCTGGAGTATGGTGGCAGTGCCCGCCCCGACAACAGGCAGCTCCCAGGGGCAGGGAGCAGTCTCCCACACTCTGCTGCCTGGCTGACCGGGAACAAATTTGTGATCTACACATGCTACTCTGCACAGTAATTACTTGTGAGTAAATTTGCTACTTGTATTTACAGGTAGTAAATTTACTCATGTTTAGAGCAAATTACTGTGCAGCAAGTGTCTGCACATGTAAATGGTGATGCTTACTCCACAGTAATTTGCTCTAATCATGAGTAAAGCATCTTGTGTAGATGCATCCTGTCAGAAAGAAATCAATTTTTTTTAAGTTTCTTCTCATATGATAGGTTTTCCATTTCCCATCCTAGCAGTCATTATCTGCATCTGCTCCAGATTAAGTTGGTCTTCCTTGAACATGGGTAACCACAATTGTATACAGGTTGCACCAGGACCTTGCACAGTAACATGAACACTTCTTTTGCCCCTACATTCTTGATCTCAAAAAACAGCTTTCTTTACTGCTCATTCTTCTTTTTTATATTTCCTATGGGCACCCTACTTATTCCTAATTTCTTGCTTGAGATGTTTATCCATCCAGTTACATTTGCAGCCCCTAGTCTACTTGTTTTTCCTCTCTGCTTAGGATACAAATTCCTGATGATCGTGCACTTTTGACATGAAGAAATTCCACACCTCCTCCACATTCAAGTCCCTAAGCTCCACTGTTTAGTTGACTTCACTAGCTGGCGCCTGAAGTTTATCAAAATCCACACTCTTGAATTCATAAAAACCTACATACCTAGTTTTTCTGATCCTTCTCTTTAATTCAGACTGAATCAAGTTCACAAGAACTTGACCAAGATTATTTTATACTACCAGATTTTCTCATTACCAGTCTGGTCTTGCTTCATTATGTGGTATTTCTTTGCCTGGTTTTCTACTTATCTGGAATACTCATTTTGGGAGAACAACTTTGTAGTTTCTCTATTACTATCTAATCATTTAGATGTGCCATTAGGATCCTGTCCCCAAGCTGATTGCTTGGAGGGACCACAATAGCCAGCAAAAAAAAAGTTCACTCTCCCATTGTACCTGCCACCAGTCACACACAATGCCAACCTATTTTAGGTTTACATCTCCTTGTAAAGGCTACATGTATTGTGTTCAGTCATTTAAAACTAAGAGACGAAGTAATTCAATTTACTCATTCACAGGATGTTATTTCATGTGTTAGAACAATTCTCTGCCATTGACTTCAGTGCAACAGATAATGTCAATACTTCAGTAGTTATACCAAGTCAAGAATATAGTAAATAGAGTAAATATACTATTTTCATTGTTTAATACTCACAGCTAATGTACCCTTTCATATGACCTTTCAGTGAGTAATCAGGCAGCATGTGACTAGAAGTAAAATATTACCTATAAAGATGCATGTATTTGCATGTCTGGTAGCTATAACCAGCAGTTTTAGGACAAATTCCTTTCATACTAGTAAAGTTACATAAAACTATGTACTTACACGCCCCAAAGTACTTTGATAGAACAAGTCTTCTGTGTTTTGCCAAATATGCCCATTTCCTCAGTGTCATCAAAAAATGAAGTTACAATACCTGACCCTTCTGGTTCTGTATATAAATCAATTCTGCAAACCCTGTAATCCTGAAAAAAAATATGATTTTATAAAAATGATACCACCACTTTACTGCTGCTGTAAGTTCTTACATAGTTTAAGGAGCTAATCAGTAAATCAGTTTTCAACATAACCACAGATTATCCACCATTTATCCTCTTTCTGTCTCAGTTACAGCTGTATGGAGGCCTGTAACTGAATGGGGCCAAGCTGGAGGCCCAACTTCCACTATGTTTTTCAGTGCATTTTAAATCACCTTTGAAGTTTTATGGAGACACCCATCTCTTTCTGTCTTTCCAATGTCTTTTCTTTCTAATTAAATCTTAGCATAACAGTGAATAGGCAACTCTTAGAAACTCTATTCACAAAGAAAAAGTGCCGCCTCCTCCAATCTTCTCCTGCTTCATATTTATTTGGGTAAACTTGAAAGCTAACGTGTTAATGATAGACTGAAAAGGCATGCAATAAGGTACTCCATCGTGTGCATGAAACCCTCAATCTACATATTCACAGAGACAACTTGTAAATCAGAGTCTATCAGTGCACACTGAAGTCTGTGTGTGTATTAATTGGATACACATAAAAATGCATGTGCATTTTTGAAAATTTGATTCGATTAACTTCTTTAAAAGACCTATGTGAGAATAGGAAAGACCAAATAAAAATAAGCCAATTGTAGTAATGAAGACAGACTTTTATAGAATGTAAAAATACAAAATGCAGATTAAAAGATAAAATCATCAACAAGGCATACATAGCATGTCATGTTTCTACTGTGCTTTGAGAGCTCAAGTCATGACAAATATCAGGGAGTAGGTGTCCTTCCTCTCTTAGCCCTGTAATAGGTATTACCAGAGCTGCTACAATAAAAACAACAGAATCAACCAATAAATTTAAAAATCTCAAGACACGGTTGGTTTATTACTACATCAGTTTCTCAACATTAAATTATTTGTGCCAATAAAGCAAACAACTGGGGAGCCTATATAAAATACATTTCATTACTTGCCTTTACTACATGTTTTATGGAACCAATCACTGTAGGTTTAGCAGATTTGCATTCCTCTTCTTCTGAGGTATTTTCATCCCATATATTAGTGAGTTCCAATTCTCCTTCCTCCAGAGGAATAGAGGCTCCTTCAAAATTTGGTTTCTCATAGAGAATCCAGCTGAAGAAGAGAGATTTTCCTTTCATGAATTTATTGATGACATTTTAACTAACCATAACTTTCTAGAACATATGGTGTACTTCAACCAACTAATCCACACAAATCTGCAAATATATATGATATGCCAAAGTTCACACAAGATAACCATGGCCTCCTCTGACCTTAAAAAAAAAAAAATCTATCCACATGATTAATTAACAGAAGTAGCCACCACACGCTTTTTTTTTTTTTAACCAATTCTGAACTTAAAAACTTCTGATAAGCCATCTTATTTTAGAGATACAAGGGATAGAAACCTTATGCTCGCCTACCTCCACAATACTATAAACAGCTTCTCATTACAATTTCACTTATTTCAAACTATAGTATAGGCCAGGGGTGAGCAAAATACGGCCCATGGGCTGGATCTGGCCTGCAAGGCCCCTAAAAAATTTAGGAAATAAATATTTATTTGCTCTTGGTTCCTGTAAAAAATGACAGGAGCCAGGGCCAGTAGGACCCAGGGGAAGCCCTGGTGGGCTCCTGCAACAGCAGGGCCTGCCTGGCCCCGCCTCCCCAGCCAGAAGCCCCAGCAGGGACTTCTGGCCTGGAACTATGTGGCTTCCCAGCTGCACTGGCACCAGAACCTCAGGTGGGGGGGAGGAGGGGAAGAAGGGCAGGGGAGGACCCTGGGCAGGGAAGGAGCCCAGGGAAAAGTAGTGCAGAGAAAAGTGGCCCCTCCCCCACAGTGTGGCTGGCATCCCATGCTGCAGCCACTCACAGCCTGCGTTGGGTTGCCTGTGTCTGCTCAGGGCAGCCCCGTGTGGACTGTGAGCGGCTGCAGCAGGAAGTGCTGGCCACGGGGCAGGGAAGGGGCTGCTTTTCCCCTGCTCAGCACCAGCTCCTCCCCTGCCAGTGAGTAGGGGGTAAAGGCTGCACGCTGCCCCCCACCTGTACCGTGGGGCTGGGGGGCACTAGGAGTGAACAGGTGCAGGAACATGGGCACTGTACCAGTGTCCCAGGGCCAGTGCCAGCAGGTCCCAGAGCAGGGTGGCAGGAGTGAGGGTCCCAGCTGGCAGGGGCTCTATGAAGCTGAGCCAGCTCCCCCCTCTCCCTGCTGGTGCAGGCCACCCTGGCTCCACAGAGCCCTGCCAGCCTGTGCTCCGTTCTGGGCCCCACCAGTGCTGGCCTTGAGACACCGGTCCAAAGACATTAGGACATTGGTCCCAAGATGGTGACCAGGGGGTGGGGCACTTGTCAAGGGGGAGGGCTACCTATGCGGCCCTCGACAGCTTGCCAAAACTGGGTAAGCAGCCCTCCGCCTGAAATAATTGCCCGCCCCTGGTATAGGCTATCCTAAGCCATAAGGTAAAAAGATCTCATAGGATTTATTTTTAAATGAAAATTTGAAAAAACATACACTTAAAATGCTAATATTTATATCAGTCTATAATGTCCAGGCAAAGTTGAGGCATATGAATTAAAAATGCTTTTAAATTTAAACAAGTATACACACAAAACCAAGACAGAACAGGAGAAAGAGTTAAGAAAAGACTAGAATTAATTCTGAAATTCTATCCCAGTGAAACTGAAATACTGAAGGAAATAAGTCAAACACTGCTGATGTATATACTTTCTTATGTTACTCTTTGATAGATTTTAAGATTGAGGGTATGATTTCTTTAAAATCAAAATGTAGTGTTGGAATTCCAATTTCATCTGAAAATACTGGACAGTAAGAACACTTTGTATTAGCACAAAACCCTACATTGAACACTGGAATTCTAATAAAGCTCTATCAAAAGGAGTGTTCCAATTCCAAAACTGCTTATGAAAAATAAATTTGATGATAAAATATGAAGAAGCAAAAGGAGATGAGATATAAGCTTTCTGCCGCACACAAACACAAGGTTTATTATGAAGCGTGAGGACAAGGCTAAGCATCTTTGACCATCTATGGCCAAAGAGAATGTTCATACCCTGAAGTTATTACAAAATGATAATTATTAAAGTATTTGGTAAAAATAATCCAAAAAATTGTTTAGATTTTCCCTAGGACATCAAGTCAGTATCAGATAATCACTGCAGCTGAGGGTGAACAATGAGATTACTTCTGCATTTGTTATATGAAATGGAATATTACAATGCATTTCAAATGAAAAAAGCAGGACTGGACTCTAAAAAAATTCTGAAGTTTTTATACAAGGTATTTAATCCAACACATGGATCAATTTTCAGGCAAATAAAGCAATGACCAGTACTACGGGTATTGGCAAAAAAGAATCTGAAAAGTTCATATTCATTACTTCAAAAATACCATCAATATTGATCTAGTTAATGGAAAAAACCCTGAATCTTGGCTGTCAGTGGTTTGAAATTTGAAAACCTTTAAAACATACTTGAGTTTTAAATTTTCACCCATTATTTGGCTTTTGAAGGGGACAAAGATTTATAAAGAGAAACATATATAGAATTTATGATGCAAAGTGAGATTAGAAGCCAATCATGGGTGGATCTAATGATAAAGTGCTGTTGGCCCAATTAAAAATGGACCATCACAGCATAGTCAGACAGAATGAGTAAAAACGAAGTTGCAGCTGAGGGGATGTCCATCTGGCAGGCTGTGGCAAAGTGCAGACACAACCAAGTTAGCACAACACATTTTACTGGCAACCCCAGCTTAACACTGTTTCGCTTTGCACTGTTTCGTTCTAACGCTCATTTTAAATTGATCCCCCATTCCACTTAGCGCTCAGCAAGTTTCATTATACCACTCATGGCCACCATTTTGGGTCATCAAAAAATTCTGGCTTTGCTTAACACTCATTTCACTTAATGTTCGTATCAATTAAGAGCACTAAGTGGGAGTTGCCTGTAGCCACAACTGGTCTACTCAGCTTCTTAACAGAGTAAGTTAGCTTATCTAGAGTTCCATTCTGCAGTGATAAGATTGATTCCTGAACTTGTTTGGATATCTCTGCCCTACAGTGCAGTCTGCAGAGCAAATATAGACTGAACCTATCCCATTGATTCCTAGCCGCACTAAGGAAGGCACCATAATGCGTAGAAAAATCCCCGCTCTTACCATCCTCGGATAACTTTAACTTTAATCACTGGTGACAGCACCCAAGAACTGCAATCCAAAATATCATAAAAAACTTCAATATTATTCTCTTGAACATTTGGTTCACTGCATATCACCACCTGCATTTAAAAAATTAAAAAAAACAACCATAAAAGAGAACATTATAGTTCACTGTTTCTAATATAACAGGAAACAGTAGCCTGCTAAATAAAACTAAAAAGACAGTGAACAAGAAGTAGAAATGTTAACCTTACCTTGCCAGGTCTGGGATTGATTTTATTTTGGCCATTTGCTGAAAAAGCCTGATAGGCAGAGGAGAGGAAAGAAACACAAATATTAATATATTAAATAACAAGTATAGTTTGTAGTATTAAAAAAAAAATACGTTTGATTACATTTCTCATTTCTTTTTCTGTAGACTGATGTTGTGTACACTTTGTTCCAATTCAAGTTTCTCAAGACCACTGTCTTGTTACACATACTAATTCAATTCTGGCCTCATTAAAGCTGGAAAGACTCAGGCAGGCCTGGTACCTTCTAAAATTTTTGCTGGCCAGCTTCCTAGATTTTCCAAAAGTTTCAGGTATCCGAGGATCATTTTGAAAAAACTGGAGCTGTTTTGCATTTAAAAGGTATGTGCTCTAAAATCATAGGGTACCTGGACACGAGCATGGAGGCTGCTCTGATATACCGTAATTAGTGTGTCAGAGCATACTCGATTAATAGAGTCTGCTGGAGCATGGTAATTACCACACTCCAGCTAGCCTCTGCGTCTCACGAATCAGCATCCCCATGCTTCAAAATGGCGATGGCGGTGCTTTAACTAAAGCTCATTGGATGAGCTTTAGTTCAAGTACCCCTGCCACTATTCTGAACCGGGGGGACACTGATACACGAGACACTGCAGTGTATTAAAGCATCTATCAGAGCTATTCTAATTAAAGTACCCCCCCCACTGCCAGAGCATGTGTAAAAGTGCTCAAAATGTTAAGTAAATGGTCAGTATGTGAAAACAGAAAAATAATTCAAAACTAATTTAAAAAAACTACGTACAAATATTCAAAAGAGCAGCATATCAAGTATACATTTCAGATAATCATACTACCAGTAAGAAAACGTTCATTAAAAAAAAATTACTAGGATAACAGAGGGAGCTCAATAAAAATATGCCAATAGTAACACCCAACATAAAATGCTCAAATGTACAAAATTAAAAAGCAACAGCTTAAAACTTAGTTTAAATTAAATGATACAAAATATGCCGCATAGCTGTATTTTTCCCACAGAAAAATAAAGCACTGGAAAATTTTCAAAAATGGAAGATTTCCCAAACCCCACATCTCTGGTTCCTGGAAAAAAAATAGCATTTTAATTTATTTGTATTAGAGAATTTAGGAGCTCTTGTCCTGAGCCTCAACCCCATTAAGCTATGTACTGTATACATACACAGAACAAAAAGATAGTTCCTGTTCCAAACATCTTATAATCTAAATATACAAAAAGAAACTACAGATAGGTACAGGCAGAATAGAAGAAAATAGCTTGGCAGTATTACTCAGAATGATAGGCATTAGTTTCACAACATGAGCAGCCTAACCAGCATTAGTGTTTTGTAAGCATTATCAAGATGTAGACGCAGTCACTACTGGTTTTATAGCTTCTGATTAAATTCCAGTTAGTACTTGCCCCATTTTAAAAATGGTGTCATGGTCATTTCTTTTTTGCTGCCCTGACTTTATTTTTTTCTTCCTGCTGCTTATTACCTCGAGTGTCACAATCAGCTTAGTCACCAGAGTATATAAAATAGTTCTTCATCTTAAGTGTAACATATAGAGGGGGCCTAAGGTGTGATTAACCAGCTAATCATGCCTTAACTTGTGACCCAACTGCACGTCCAACCAATTAATGTCATATAAAACAAGCAACAAACTATGAAGTTATTCCACAAAAAACATATAACTTTGTAGTTTGTGCTAATCACGTCATTAACTGAATGTGTGGCCAATGCTCTCGTGTGTCTGGAAGCCCCATCAGTTGAGGGGTTGCCAGCCACAGAGGTGCACCACCCACTGCCAGCCCCGCAGCTGACAAGGCGCATAGTGGTGGCAACACTGTCAGCTACCAGATCACAATAGAAGCAGCAGAGGTCACCATCCCTGCTGCAAGCCCCATGAGGTGTGGGGCTCAGTGGCAGCAGCATTCCCTGACACTGCCTCCACTGTGAGCACCACAGGGCATGTCACTGCGGGGCTCACAGTGGTGGCAGTGAAGAGAACACTGCTGCTGCTTCAAGCAGCATATGGAATCCAAGTAGATCCCACATGGGAGTAAGTTTCAGGAGCAGAAAAGGATCTGTTTACAGACAAATCAGGGCCCTCAGCTTGTCAAAAGTGTTGGTTTGAACTCAAGCCAGGAGCACAACTGGCAAAGGGACAGTAACCAATGAAACATCTTTAATATCCAAGTTTCACAAACATCCTCTTAAAAACTGTCACAGCAGAAACATTCAAAGGAAGAATGCCTTTCCATCTGCCAAGTTAAATCTGAACTTTTGCTTAATTTATTTGATTCTTACAACATTTTGAAGTAAGTCTGGACTCCAATGGGGGGGGAAAAAAACAGCTTTAAAAGTGGAAGACGGTGTTGTCTCCTTCCTTGAGGGGAAGGCAGGAAAGATCTATGCCAGGGACATCAGATAACTATTCAGTTTGAAGAAATGCTTCCTGACTTCCTTTTCTTCTCAATCCTGCAGACCCCACTGAGGAAAAGAGGCACTACTTTCCACTGTTCCACCACCTACTGAATACATTTGGTCTACTGTGTAATGGTGAATAACACTTCGAGAACCAAGATCTCTAGCAGCAGGAATAGCTGAAATTGTACAGTATTTATTCACAATTTAGATAAAAATAATATGAATATACCATAATGGAGTGAAAAAGAATATCACTACTAAGGAAGTAGCAGGTTTTCCTTTATCGGTTACTTTAACATAAATATATATATAGCTATATCTGTATCTATAGATATCAATATCTATAGGTAGGTAGGTAGGTATAATCAAATGAATAGTCTGCATGGATGCTACTCAGAACAAACAAAAAGGACTTCAGTCTAAGGTGATTAACGCTTTTCATCTTTATCCCTATACAGCTTTTAAAGTCTTTTTCAAGATTCTGGCTACTGCCCTTCGAAAAGTAGATGGATGTTAGAAGCAGGAATGGACAGAAACTGTCTTTTTGTTAGAGAGAATTTTTTGCAACAGAGCATTTCAATGGAAGAAAAGAAGTATTTATAAAAGTCACTAAGAACAGGGGAGCATATAGAAAGCATGCCACTAATTTGCAAGAAAGATGGAATTAGAACATACTTTGCAAAAAAGCATGGCAAAGTGAAGCTTCATACTACAGTGTCTGATGTTTATTTACACAGAGTTGTAAGATAAGGACACCTCATAGGACTGTCATCACATCAAGAAGTATTACATACATAGTCTCACTTTTAAAGCCTAAATTTCTATTAAACCATTCTTCAGTCTAAACTCATAATTTATGTATGTCACTGTTGAGAAGGAAAAATAAATCAGAGAGATGTGTTCAGCATGTAGCAAATGTGAAAGGTGAATAACTTTTCAAAGTGACACAGAGTTTTGACATACTCACCTCTATATCCAATGAACCAGAAAGAACATTTTGTTCATACTGGCTAGACCCTAACCAGCTTGAGAAACTTTTGCCATTGCTTCCATAATTTGGCATTTGTAAGCCTAATTCTTTTTTCACATCATCCATTTGCAAATATTTTTCCATGTAACTTGGAACTTTATCTGAAAGAGACTGAATTAGAAAATTAAAACAAAGGTTACTTGGAAGCCACACTGGGTTTCTTAAGGCTTAATCTTCTGAACTATTTGGTTTTATTACCTCTGACTTTTGAGGAACATTGAATGGTCCAGCAGTATTCAGCAGTAAAGAAGGAATGCCTGAGGAGTCAGCTGCAAAAGCTGTTATGATGGTATTTGCTGAGGTTGTAGGAGGAGTAATCTTTTCTTTAGCTGTTGATGATAGTAAACTTGAGTAGAGGGAACTTTTTTCCAGACGGGATCTCTTAATTTCACCATCTACACTATCGTTGTTCTCTTTTCCATTTATTTCCTCAACTATTATAGGTTCATTTCTGTTGGATGACTTCAGCGACTGGAAAAGTATACTCTGCTCTGTAGATATACGCTTGGGTCTTACCTTAGCTATAGTTTCTAGACTTTGCATTTTAATTTGTTGGGCTGGGGATAAATCTTGTTTCTTTTCTCTCTTTACTCCCAAACCAAGTGTAAATATATTGGGATCAAATATTTTCTCTAAATTGTCTTCATGGATTGGAGGCATTGCAAAGTACGGTGCTGGAGATTTGGGAAGCTTGGGCCTTTTTTTCTTCTGTGGTACACAAATTGAACTGTCTAGATTTTTGATAGTTTCAGCAAACTTCTTCATGTCAGTTGGAGAATCAAAAATGCTATCATCGGGAGCAGCAGAACCATTACAAATGTTGTCTGGGCTTTGCTGTATATTGGTAACATTTTGCTCTAACGTCTGCATGTTATCTAAATTGTCTTTGGTACAGTGTATGTTTGTAGAATCTCCTATTTTCGTCTTTTTGCAATCGTTTTCTATCTTCTGTAATTCTGGTTCCTTGGAAACCAAAACAGACTTTAGAGGATACTTATCATTACAAGGTGATGAGCTGTCTACTTTTGGCAGCAGTATTGTTTTTTCATTTTGAAGTAATTTTGAGCACACAATTGTTTGGTTATCACCATCTTGGAAGATTTTACATTCACTGAGAGATTTAGGTTGTAAACTGTCATTATTAATCATAGGAGGTTCTGCATCCCATTGTTTTAATAAGGTAGAACAAGCATCTGCTTTGCTGGTTTGGTTGAAAAGAGATCCAGCAGCTTTTACTTTAAGTTCTGCTACCCTTCCACCCTCCTCATTAGTTGGAGTCCCTGCTTGAGAGCTTTCTTGAAGTTTGACCTTTATTTCTGCAGAGTCTTCTTTAATCTGTGTCCCGTTTTCAGAAAACTTCTGGTGACTGTTCTGCTTATTTATTATTTTATCAGGTTGTCCATTTTCTGTGGCTTGCTTTCCAAATTTCAACTTTGCTCTACCAACAAATGCATTTGACATAACACTGTTTTTTGAAGCAGGGACATCAGTAGGTCGCTGATTCTGATGAGAACATTTATTTTCAAACAGGGAAATTTTGTTGGCAATACTGTTGTTAGTTTTATTAACTGCTTTTTCAAGAGACTCTTGCTCACTTTCCAAGTTGTCAAGACTCGTAGGTGCTTTAAAATTCAATTCTACGTTCTTGGGTTTGGCTGGACTGCAAAAAGCAAAGTGATAAAGATATGTTGCAAAGCATTACATAAAACTAACATACCAATTACAAAAAAAGAAATAAAGCACCTTCACAACAAAATCTTTCCCTTTTAACAGTACTTAATAGCATTCCTCTTTAACAATTTACATTTCAATACTTTAAGAGGACTTGATGAAAAGAAAGGCATGACTGCCAGCATGCCTACACTGGCTCTATATTGCCATTGAATGTGATGACAAAAAATAAGTCTCATCCAGCTAATCTCACTCTGCAACTGGAACTTGCTGCTGCTGCTGCCCTTATAATCTGGACACACAGATCTCAAGAGCAGTGGTGGGGAGCAATCCCACGGTATCCTTACCACCTCAGATCTGTACCACCTCAGGGTAAAATCGGAGTTTATTTTTAAGAAGCATGGAAACAATGTAGACAAGCCCTGTGCTAATGGCAGTAAAAAATAATTGGGTACTAGTAGGGACATAGCATCTCACAAACATGCACACAATTTACTATAACCTAGACCACTGGTGTCAAACGCACCCCAGGCTGGATCTGGACCAAAAGGGCTCCTCTTGGGTTGGATTCGCAGGGCTGCATTTAGGCAGCGGTGTGGGTCTGAGGTTGGGCAGCTGCGCATAGCTGTATTCAGGCAACTCAGAGCCAAGGGCATGCACTGGTGAGGACACTTGGATGCGAGGCAACCCAGAGCTCTGACCAGACATCAGTATGGAGCTGGAGCCAGGGACATGCAGCGGTCCAGACAGACATCACTATGGGTGGGAGCCCCTTGGCTCTGCAGTATTGCTTGAACACAGCTCCCTGCAGCTGCATACCTCTGGCTCCATGCCACTGCCCGGTGGCACAGAGTCAAGACATGGCACTTCTGGTTACCCACTAGACTACCAGTGGGCTGAATGGAATGGTTCTGCAAGCCAGATCTGGCCTGCAGGCCTTATGTTTGACACCCCTGGTCTAGGAGATCAACACAATAGTGAATCAGTTGACAAGATGCAACAGAGATCCTCAACTTTTTATATCTGTGTCAAAGTTTAAAAGTGAACAAATAGAATTAAATTTTCCTTTTTTAAGCCAGGTACATTTTCAATGTAAAGTGAGCTGGGCTTTACAACAATAAATTTATTACAATATTTCCCTTTTCATCTTGGAGTCCATGTTTCAGTCCACTCTAATCTTGACAGATAAAAATCAATAAAATCATCATAATTACTATATTATATGTCTAGATAAGAAAAATTCTCCAATTATGAATTTTATTTGGTAATTTACAATTACATTTAAAATTGCTAGTCTCCATTTCTAATAGATATAGCCAAACTTTAAAGGCCAAATTATGAGCCACACCTCTGAAGAGCTGCAGGCCGAATGACAAGGGACAGAGCTTTACACCACTTCTTAGACTCTCAAATTCTTGGCTAGCCCAAGACCCATTTCTTAAGGCTTAATCTACACTGAAAAGTTTTGCCAGCAGTTATATTTGGGTACAAGTATGAAAAAAAAATTACCTTCTCACTGGAATTGCTATGACAGGAAAAACTCTGGTGTGAACACAGCTATGTCAGCAGAAGATGGTTTTTATTGCTCTGGTTCATGATGTTCAGGAAGACAGTATAGCTATGCCAAGAGAAAGACTCCTTCTAATGGTCTACACTAGAGAACTCTTGACATAACAGAGGCTCCACACAGGCAAACCTCCCCAGGGACTGCTCTAGCTTACTAAGAGTTTGGGCAATTCCTTTTGAACCACCTGGAATCTAGAATAGCCAAAGCACTGAGAGCTTCAGGTCACAGCACACCCCTCCCCCAATCACTCCCACACAAGGATTTCCCAGAGGAATGGCTGCTGGGTAATCAGTCTGTTTTAGGCTCCTTTTGCACAGCAAGAACAGCTAAAAGGGTCAGGATGCAGTAAAGAATTGGGGCAAAGACTTTCAAAACTTATCGAAGTGTTAAATAACCCATTACCAGTTCATCAAGGAGTCCCCTGTGATTCAGTGGTAGAAACCTTGTCTACCACACAAGAGACCTGCGTTTGATTCCCAGACACTTAAACAACTACAGCCATGGAGGATTCAATCTGGTCTTTGGATTCTGTCTCAGTGGCCTAAAAAGAGGATAGAAGGTCTGGGCAGCCTCCGCTCCTCCAAAAATTCCTGCCCAGGCATATGAATTAAAGGTCTGGGTGGCCTTCATGCATACACCATGATCCAGGAGGATCAACATTTGCCACTACCAGTTCAACAAGTGGAATTTGTCCTTTAAACCCTATAGGAAGTTACATGCATGCAGTAATGGAAAAACCTTTGCAGCAACAGGACACTGGCCACCATAGTCTGCCTGCTTTACCTGTTGTAGGTTAGGTATTAGGCCTTGTGGTTGTGTCAGGGTTGACCTTGTCGTTTTGCTAATAAGTTAGACAATGAATTTTTATAGGATGGTTTGGGGATGATTCTGCCTCACAGGGGGTTGAGCTAGATGACCTCTAGAGGTCCCTTCCAGACCTACTTTTCTATGATATTCTATGGTAGAGTAGTATGTAAATAAGCTATATGGACACTAATGACTGTGGGAGATCACAGATAAACTGCCAGCAACAAGCTCTAAAGTCACATGGCATCTAGGTCTATACATAATTTTCTGGCGCACAAATACTTATTCTTATCTGTCTACATACTGAGCTATTAACTAAATAGTGGGATAGAGCTTTAGTTCTAGAGAAATTCTATATACAAATAAACCCAGAGAGAAACCAACTGAAATAAAACGTCACGCCAAAAAACAAGATACTCAAAAGCAAATATATCCTGCTCAAATACTGCTTTCGGTTTTTGCTGCCATGAGAGAGAGAAAATACTGGGCTACATGGACCTGTGATCTGAGTATGGCATTGTTTATACTTTTTTGTTCTTTCTTTGAGTGAAAGGATGAGAGAACAAATCGTATATTACTTACTGAACTATTAGAAGGCCATCAGATACTACAGTTATAGGTGGAGCAACAAGAGCAACAAAAAAAAAGAAAGAATAAAACTGGAAGCATTAACTATTTTATAAAATATTCCTCTGCTAACACTGAAACTACAACTTTTAAAATTTTAATCATAACTATAAAGGTACTTATGTTTCATCAATGAAAACTAATTAGCCAGTATAGAAAATAAAATATTTTTAAAAGTACTGACAATTCCAAATTCTTTTAGGCAGGTCAATTCAGCAGGAGCTAAAGGAAAACATGTACGTTGAAATGTGAACACTATTTTTAGGGAGTTCTTGTCTGTTTTACATTTGTGGGAAGGCTGAAATTCTGTAACTCACAGCGCAACATTGGGGAAAAACAACTTTATGAGCAAGATTTTTAGATATATTTTTCACTTGTCTTAAGTCTGTGCTCTCCTAGCAACATGGAAGGATGGTGGGCACATGGTTAGGTTTCACTCTCATAGGTTGTTAAAGGATTCCTCATCTCGATATATTCATCTCCCATCTCAATATATTCATCTCCCATACCCTTTCCTGACTAGCTGTTTACTCCCACTACAATACACTTTGGGAAATAGTAAAGAGATCTTCCTTGCTTCTCTTTCTGCCCCACTAAGTAGTGTAATAAGTAGTGTTGAGAGCTAAAGTATTATCAAATTGCATCCAAGTTGAAACCCATATAAATGAGCATTTACCACCTTAGTGGTTCAGTTTCAGTCTTTCAGCAAATTCAAGCAGAAGCCTCTGCATCAGTATAACTTAGCATCAGTAACATGGGCTTCACATTTTGAAGAGTTGCTTCAGAACAGCAGTTAGAGGCTCACTTCTTTAAAAAGAAGAAAAGAAGAAGAATTTTGAGCCCATGGAGACGAATTTATAGGTCTGCCATGGCAGACCTATAAATTCATCCATGAATTCCACCCCTTTCCATCACTCCATCCCAGCTAGTCCTTCTGATAGCTTCCCCTGACCAGTATGTTTTACATTTCAGGTAACATAGTCTTATGAGTTATAATATAAAAAGACTAAGCTTCAATTTCATTACATGAATCAAAGGTAAATGCTATTTTTGATGTGCTTGAAATATAACTCTGACTTTGTGGGGAATAGCAGAGGTTGGGTTTATACATCAGATTACCCAGACTATCTTGTGCATGCATTCAGGTCTTGCTAATAATTACTACAATCCACTATTTGGCTCCAAACCTTCTTTTACTTAAGTGAAAGCAGGAAGAAGATACTGGTGCATTTCCTTTGGAAGTCTACCACCTTGCAACCAACCTGCAGAAGCACATAACTAGACCTCTCCCAATTTAACCTGATATAGCCAGTGACTCGCACAAACAACATGTAGTGGAACAGACAAGTTAAACAGGTATCTTTAATGCCAGAACATCAGAGCCTGACACGAGCAAAGCAAAATGGCATGTTAGCAGAGCAGGATAATTAAATGAGATTAAATGCAATTATTTACAAATCAATGGTTGAACATCAAATGCTAGAACTGGGGCCAAAATCCATTAAGAATATCAAAATAACTGTACAGTTTGCGATTTTATTTATGTAAATCTAGATATTGCTCCAAGCCTGATTAGTACTAGACTTCAATCACTTAAGCTCCAAACTGGACTCTGTTTAAAGTTGTTAAAAACATTCGAGTTTTTCAAATAAGATTTTAGCATGTGAATACAAAAAGGGAAAGAACAGGTAAAAATGTTTAGCTAAAAGAATTCTAAATAAATAAATAACAATTAAAGACTAAACTCTTAGTGTTGCTTCTGCAGCAGAAGCCTAATACCTAGACTTGTGTTGCCACCATTAAGTATAGTAAAGTACAGAGTAGCCTATCCGGCATTGGAGAATGTTGTAGCTTAAAGTGGTATTTTAAAAATTCCAGTTCCAGCTAATAAGCTAGAAGAGGGTGTGCACAAGTGTGTGTAAAATCAAAACAGGCCAAACAAAAGGAATAAAAACAGTACATATATTTTTTAAAATATTTAATGTGTTTTTAGCTTTTGAAAATAAAAAGTAGAGCCTTCTCAACTGCGTAAGGTTAATTCTTTTCTCACACTACACTAGACAAAAAGTCACTTTGTAATGAGACCAATTGCCTTTCTCTCCCATTACACAACAGTCTGATACACACCTAGATTTACAGCCTGTGTGTTCTGATGAATAAGATGAAGAATTTCATTTAGTGCTTTGACTATATCAACTGACATTACCTGCCTATATCAGCCATGTACCACTCAGCTGACTGATGCTAGCATAGCAGCTTCTAGCTAATAGAAATAGTCAATATTATTATAAGGTGCATAGGGATCTTTCACCCTACTAAACCTACTCCAAGGTACTAGGGCAGGATACAAATCTAAAAAATAAATAAATATTTCCCTCTGAAGTCGCTGACAATTGGGGATTTTTGGCAATACCTTTGTTGGACCAACTGTAGAGGGAAATGTTGTTAAAACTTATGTTTGGGAAGGAAAGGGATTTTATGCGTGAAAGCTTGTCTAACCTTGTCAGCTAGATAGGTAGCAGTTGTTTAACTGGGAGGGGTGGGGATGAGGCAGGGATTAGCTCCAGGTATCAACTATCCCCCTTACCCCACAGAAGTCTACCACAGCAGAGGCAGTTGGACAGTGCAGCCTTGTATCCAGCTGTGCATCTGAGGGGCAAGAGTTTCTCCCCACTCCACACATGCGGGGGAGTATTTGCCACAGCAGGTGGAGCCCTGCACCCAACAGCAAATGGGGGGGGCAGACAGGCGGAGGAAGGATGGGGTAAATACCAGGGCAGGAGGGTCAGCTCCCATGGAGCCCAGGCCACAGGGATGCAACCACCAGAGCCAATGCTGCGGTGGCAGCCTTTAGTGTATGAGAGCCTGGGCAGACCACTTTTCTTACCTCCCGCCCCCAATCCCTGTCTACAGTGGTTGGCAACCCCTCTCCCCTCCTCCAGGCATTGAATGAGCTCACTCTGTCACTTGGTCCAATTTAAAATTCTCAGCAAAACAACCCTTGCTTTTCATATATTTCCTGGACCATCATGGCTACAAAGGCATAAAAGGGTAGGTCTGCACCTTGCAGCTTCAGTGCACAAGGCAGCACTGAGCCCTGTGCTGCCAGCAGTGTGGCCAGCTTCCCCTCTGTGGCAGCAGCTGTCTTTGTACCTTTTCTTTTCATCCCCAACAGCTGTGACTTGGGCTCCTGCTCCCCTCAGTTACACCACTGACAACAACACTCCAACTCTACTGCTGGGAACTGGTTAAACGTTCAATTTTGCCAAATGACTACATGTTATTAAATAGCAGTGCTACAGTGCTGTTGTATCCACAGTGGTCCATACAATATGCTAGAAGCAAGGTTTGTCTCATAAAATCTTTCACTGAACCAAATATATGGTTGGGAGACAGGTCAGACAAAACAGATAGACCCTAAGCTAAATATCAGGTAGAACAATTACTTTTAACTCCTTATTTCCTTTATATTTACCTTTTATGTATATAGTTGGTCCAGTTAAAGGTATTACTAAACATAACTCACTTCTATTGGAAAGAGCACTTGCTTCTTACTGAAAGACAATGGTATGAAACAATTTAGTGTACAGCAAACTAGCAGCAATTATCCCAGGTATGGTCCAAGCAACATAGGACAGGCTTATTTGGCAACCAGCTAATTGGCCAGCAGATCTGTGTCAGCTGTCAACTGACAGCAAAAGCCTTAATCTATTTGACAGAACAGTGGGGGAGTTTTCAGTGTGGAAGCCCTCAGAACTCTGCCAGGAGAACATAAATTCTGCTAGCAAAACTTGGTAATGTGCAGCAGTCTTCTAAGACTACAGCAGAGACTGGGTGTGAGTAGAGGTGGAGCGGACTAAAGTGCAAGTTGTTTTTTGATTAACTGTAATAGAGTCTTTTCAAAAGCAATGTTATCAGCCTTAATTAGTTGCTAGGAGGCAGGTACAGGATAAGTGCCTGTGGAACAAAATAGCAGATCATCTTAAATCATTTTCATCAGTGCTTTTTATATATAAAGTGACAGGATTTGGCAAATGGCTTGTCACCATAGGCACAATTTAAATTAAACAAACAAACCGAAACAGTTTAAGTAGTGTGTATCATAGTAAAACAATCTGTATGTTTATGACTGCATCAGCATGGTACCTGCACCTTAGCATGACACAATAGAAAAAAAGGCAAAGAGCGGTATTGTTGAAATTCTGATGTTCCTGAAGATAAAATTTGCTAAGATGTGAAAATAAATATTTATGAAAAAATAAGAGAATTGATTTTTTTTAGAATGTTCATGCCTTATAGCTAGGCGTTCTTGTCAGGATTTGCTTCAGTTGCAAGTGAACACATCAGACTTAGATTCTGTAGTCGACTGGCCAAGAATAATATAATGGTGCCAGATTGTTTTTAAATTTATAATAAAAACAATTTTCTATAAAATGAAAATGTTCTCTGCAAAGTTTGCTAGGCAACTACTGTAAATCAGACTAGTACATGAGAGAGATTAGTATAGTTAGTTGAGTGAAATGCAAAAGAAGAAAAACAACTGTACAATTTGTAAAAAACTAAATTTAAATGTTAAATATTTAATATTTAGTTCTCTGTTTTGATAAAACATCACAAGAAACAGGTGCTCACCTTAAACTATAGTTTCTAACCTTCATACTCCTTTAATACAAGGCACTGCTACATTTAAAATACAGTACTAATTGTTTGGTATTTCTTGGTTATTTCTCCAGGGCTGGAACAAACAGATGTGTCAAAATTGATAAACTAACAGAAATCAACTGTTATTTTCACCTCCCTAATTTGAATATCATGCATAATGAGAGGTCTGATCAGTTCAAATAAGTGACACAATGCAGAACTAAATGTAATGGATGTCACTTATTTTATCTATCATTCAGGTACAGAAAATAAACAATGGCAGTGATTTTACTGTTAATCTTCAAAAGGGTCATAAGAAGTGCAGCCAAAGTACCTATGCTTCTTCACACAGTTAGAAAAACAAATCATCTTTTTTTTTTTGTTTCTTCAGAGTTTTGTATCAG